TTTTTGCTATTCTGACACTACAGATTAATTATATTCTTCAAAATTTTGTATACTTGTAGCCAAGAGTGCGCTAATAGTGTTAGCCTTTTGCCATCAGACAGTATTTTGCCCCACTTTTGAGATATGGTGTCGGAAAAGTAGGTCACAATAAAAAATTCTCCAAATTTAAAGTGTGAGTTATGAACTAAGTATAAAATTTTCTCGGGAATCAAAATCTGCAAACCAAATTTCGATCCGACTTCCGGTTCGGAAGTTATGACATTTTGAAAGCTCAAAAATCGCTAAATTTGGTGCCCCATGTTATGTCAATGGGAAAAAAGATTTTTTTGAAGTGTAAAATACGAGATATAGACTAAGTACAGCTTAAAATAATGAAAGCCTATGAAAGAAGGGAACCTCGAAGGCTACCTAACTTCAAAATTTGGACACCAAAATCCCTAGGTCAAAATCTAGGTCAAATTCGTAGTTTTTCCTTATTTTTGTGATTCTGACACTATATTTAAATGATTTGCTTCAAAATTTTGTATACAGGTAGGAAAGAGTGTGCTAATAGTGTTAGCTTTTTGCCGTCAGAAAGTATTTCGACCCACTTTTGAGATATGGTGTCCGAAAAGTAGGTCAAAATAAAAGGTTCTCAAAATTTAACATATGAGTTATGAATTAAGGGTAGAATTTTATCAGGAATCCGAGTCTGCAAACCAAAATTTCGATCCGACTTCCGGTTCGAAAGTTATTGCGTTTTGAAATTTCGAGAAAAATCGATCTGATTGTATCCTGATAGAAAGTCAAGAGTAGAGAAGAAAATATTGAAAAATGCATCCATCCTTCCTTTGTGATCCTATCGTATCCTTCTTATCTACCTTTCCTTCGTATCCTCTCCTTCCTATCCTTCCTATTCTATTCCTTCTTCCTATTCTATTCCTTCTTCCTATTCTATTCTATCATTCTTTCCTATTATATCCTATCTTTCCTTCCTATTCTAGTCTATCCTTCCTTCCTTTTTCATCCATCCATCCATCCATCTTTTTCTGGATGACTCAGCTTATTTTGGATGACTCGGCTTATTCTGGATGACTCGGCTAAAAAAAGTCTAGATCTGGAGTCTGAAATTGAACTTGTTCAATTTCCAAAATCTAGTTATTCTTATTATTCTAAACCAGTTTTCTCAATAACCATAAGGTCTTCAGTAAAGTCAATCATTTGGTCAATTTAGGTCCAGAATCTAGTTCCTCGGAAATTTGGTCAAATTTTTATCTAGGTCAAAGGTCAAGAACTAGGTCAAATCCAGTACTTTGTCACTTTTTTCGATTTTCTCGGTCGTCCTTCAATATTTTTGATCCAGGTTTTTTTCATTGTGTTCCTTATAAAAAAAGTAGGAAAGCAAGGGTCGATTTAGTTTTTTGATATCTCAAACCGATTTCGAGATATCAGTGTCCGAAAACGAGGTCCAAAAAAAAAGTTCTCCGAATCAAATGTCCAGGATATTAGTCTTATAGGAAATTTTCTCAGGATTCCGAATCTGAAAACCAAAATCGAATCAGACTTCCGATTCGGAAGTTATGGCGTTTTGAAAGCTCAAAAATCGCTAAATTTGGTGCCCATGTTAAGTCAATGGGAAAAAAGATTTTTTTGAAGTGAAAAATACGAAATATAGACTGAGTTCAGCTAAATATAATGAAAGCCTTTTAAAGAATGGGACCTCAAAAGCCATCTAGCTTCAAAATTTGGACACCAAAATGCCTAGGTCAAAATCTAGGTCAAATTCAAAGTTTTTCCTTATTTTTGCTATTCTGACACTACAGATTAATTATATTCTTCAAAATTTTGTATACTTGTAGCCAAGAGTGCGCTAATAGTGTTAGCCTTTTGCCATCAGACAGTATTTTGCCCCACTTTTGAGATATGGTGTCCGAAAAGTAGGTCACAATAAAAAATTCTCCAAATTTAAAGTGTGAGTTATGAACTAAGTATAAAATTTTCTCGGGAATCAAAATCTGCAAACCAAATTTCGATCCGATTTCCGGTTCGGAAGTTATGACATTTTGAAAGCTCAAAAATCGCTAAATTTGGTGCCCCATGTTATGTCAATGGGAAAAAAGATTTTTTTGAAGTGTAAAATACGAGATATAGACTAAGTACAGCTTAAAATAATGAAAGCCTATGAAAGAAGGGAACCTCGAAGGCTACCTAACTTCAAAATTTGGACACCAAAATCCCTAGGTCAAAATCTAGGTCAAATTCATAGTTTATCCTTATTTTTGCGATTCTGACACTACACTTTAATTATATTCCTCGAAATTGTGTATATGTGTAGCCAAGATTGTGCTAATAGCGTTAGCCTTTTGCCGTCAGAAAGTATTTTGACCCACTTTTGAAATATGGTGTCCAAAAAGTAGGTCAAAATAAAAAGTTCTCCAAATTTAACGTTTGAGTTATGAATTAAGAATAGCATCTTCTCAGAAATCCGAATCTGCAAATTAAATTTCAATCCGACTTCCGGTTCCGAAGTTATGGCGTGTCCGAAAAGTAGGTCAAAATAAAAATTCGCAAAATTTAACGTATGATTTATGAATTAGAGGTAGAATTTTGTCAGGAATCCGAATCTGCAAATCAAATTTTGATCCAACTTCCGGTTCGGAACTTCGGAAGTTATGGCGTTTTGAAATTTCAAGAAAAATCGATCTGATGGTATCCTGATAGAAAGTCAAGAGTAGAGAAGAAAATGTTGAAAAATGCATCCATCCTTCCTTTCTGATCCTATCCTATCCTTCCTATCTACCCTTGCTTCATATCTTCTCCTTCCTATTCTACCCCTTCTTCCTATTCTATTCTATCCTTCTTTCCTATTCTATCCTATCGTTCCTTCCTATTCTATCCTATCCTTCCTTTCTTTTTCATCCATCCATCCATCCTTCTTTTTCTTGATGATTTAGCTTATTTTGGATGACTTGGCTTATTCTGGATGACTTGGCTAAAAAAAGTCTAGATCTGGAGTCTTAAATTGAACTCGTTCAATTTCCAAAATCTAGTTAAAGTTAGAGTTGTTCTCTCTGAGATAAAGGGATAATTAAATTTTTTGGGTAACATTGGTGATCCACTCGATTATGCTGGTTTCTGAAAGGAACTGATTTTTTTCTTATTTCACGCGTTGTGGGCAGAATTCTCACGACATTTTTATAACAAATGTGTGTCGTATGTCAGTATCATATGTTTAAGAAAATGTACATGATTGCGAAAAAATAGTTCAGAAGACAATGGAATCGTCAATTTAATACCTCACTTAAGTTACGTAAATGGAATCGGTTAGAAATGCAGATCTTAACTGTTTTTTGAAGTTCTGTTTACGTAACTTAAGTGAGGTATTAAATCGACGATTCTGTGGTCTTCTCAACTATTTGTTCGCAATCATGTACATTTTCTTAGACATATGATACTGACACAAGTTTGTTATAAAAATGTCATGGGAATTCCCCCTACAACACGTGGAATAAGGAAAAAAGAAAAATCGTACCTTCGAGGTTCCGACATTTTGTTACCGAAACGAGTTGTTTCGATAACTAGCTTAATCAAGTGGATCACCAGTGTGTAAAGAACTTGTTTCATTTATGATTTGTGACATTGAGAAAATTTTGTTTGAAACACTGCTTTGTATTAAAGAGAGGATAAAGTCACACATTAATTATAGCTGATTTACTATTGGTGGCATTTCAAGACAAATCAATTTGAAGGATTGGATGCAAATTTTTATATAAGGGAGTTCAAAATTGACATTAGATTAATTATTTTGCAAGTTTACATATGCAGAATGTTGTCAACAAAAATCCATTTCAATAATTCAAAATAGATCCATTTTGGGTCTGCAAGACCTTTTGATTGAGGCACATCTTTGTACGAGGGGTGATCAATAAGTAATGGACGCTTTTTTACACAGATACTTTTTATTGACCAATCCACTTGATTTTACTACCAGTGATACATCATTCAATTATCTATCAATTCTGAAGATTTGAAGACAAAATGTATAATACATGTTGATATATCCTTATTTCCGTGAAGGAGGTACATGTACCCCGGGACCGACATTTACGTCACATATTCAGTTTTAGCCAGTTTGGTAAATTTGAGTTAGATTTGAACTTTTTATATGCAAGAAGTGTTGTATTGTTTGAAATGTTTTGCTGACTGGTAACACATAAACAGAAAGTATTGTAATGTCAAAGTGTTGCATGGAAGGGGTTTGCAGGTCAATTTGAGAAAGCATTGTAGAAGAAAGGGGTGGTGAGAGAAGGGAACATCCTACTCCATATGGACAATGCACCTGCCCACAGATCGCAAAATGTTCAGAAAACAATATCCCTGGACCTTGGCCAATGCACTATATTGCCCACATCTGCTCACATGTGCCTTGTTTATTTCTATACTACTTATTTCTATAGAGAAAGGACGCAGGTTTATTAACTTTGATTAAATAAAACAACCCATGCAACTGTATCTTGCTACCATGTCAGAGAATGGATTCAGTCTTGTCTCGCAATCTTGAGTTAAGAGGATGAGGAATTGTGTACATGTAGCACTTGATGGAACCTATTTAGAGGGCCCTGTGGAATGAATGTGGCATGAATACCACATAGTGATGATAAAATATTCAAAATCAACTATGACATAACAAAATGGGGTAATTCATGACCATAATGGTTTGTTTTGTTCAGCCTGCATTCAACTGCATTGCATGTTAAACAAGCTAAAATAGCTTCAGAATATGTGACGTAAATGTCGGTCCCAGGGTACCCGTACCTCCTTCACGGAAATGAGGATATATCAACATGTATTACATATTTTGTCTTCAAATCTTCAGAGTTGATAGATAATTGAATGATGTATCACTGGTAAGAAAATCGAAGGGATTGGTGTATAAAAAGCATCTGTGTAAAAAAGCGTCCATTACTTATTGATCACCCCTCGTATGTACCATATTTGTTTATTTATTTAATTGTTTTCAGTATTTTACTCTGACAACTAAAGCTGCATGTTATCCACAGCAGGGGACCCCTAGTGGCCTGAGTCCTGGATCTGTCATGTTGATTCTGTAAGTATGTTTTTAGCATAGATTGAGTGATGTTTAGATGAAATGAAAAATAAATCACAGGATTATGGTCGATGATTGGAAAATAAAGGGGAGTACTGATTTTAGCTAGTAAATTCAACAAATCTGCAAGATTTATTTTTAAGGAGAAATTTTACGAATAAATCGCTAAATGAATAAGTGCACGGTATGGTGAAATTTGTTAGGTATTGTATGATTCTTTTCTTAACGAATACACTTCTAAGGTGTGAGATCTATTAAAAAAGGCTCAATGCCACCAATGTGCACACGTCAAAGTCTTTAAATCAAGGAATGGGAATCTTCATGACCTGTAATAAATACTTCAAAGTGACGTTATCATCACAAAATTAATGTCATTGCTGGCTTTTAAGTTTAAATTTCTATACATTATATATTAGTGCAGTCAGAATGAGCCTAAATGCGTGCGTTCAGAGGGATTTTATGGGACATAATTTTTCATGTTGCTAGTATGATTTCACATATTTGTATGAATTATTAGATCCTAGCTTTTCAGCTTTTAGATTTTGTGGCCATTTTACCCCCCATGGGCTATAATTTGGACCCCTACTATAAAATTAGGCAAGAACTCAAAAAATACTCAGTGGAATGTTTTCAAATTGCTATGGTATATTGGTATGGACGTAATGAATATATGATAAAAATTTCAAGTCACACGGTTAAGTGGTTACCATGGAAATGGATAAAACATACCCTTCGGGTGTCGATTTTCAGGCCAATTTTTCAGGAATGATAGAGTCATTTTGTGCATATTTTGTCACCAGTGTGTTAGGAAGGGTTGAAGTGTGAATAGAAAACATCTATAATATGTTAGCAACAATCTCATGTAAAGATCAGTCCACAGAATCTCAGATTTTGGCCTTATATGGGTCCATGATTTATACAGAGGCCTATTACATACAATCCAACCTATTCCATGACATATGCTAATACCCCTAATTTGGAAAAATGGGCAAGTCCAAAAACAACAGGATTACCTGAATCCCTCTAGGTCAACTGACCTAACACCCCTTTATATGCTATATCTTCATAATTGTACTTGCCTATGTATGGAAAAGTGGAAAAAATTTTAGAGTCCAGTTTTTACTCTATCTGCTAGAAGTTTCTTAGATAATTGGTAAATTGATGGCAGATATATGCAGGACTAGGGGTTACCAGATTGTTACGGGAACCTAGTCAACGTGATAGTCTACAGAAGTCGGCAAATCTACAATCTGAACTGGCACAGATGACCAAGTAGCCGATCTTTGGGACAGCAAGGTGCATATTAGAAGCATGCACAACTTGAGTGTTAACTGAGGGAGTTGGTGCCCACCATCCCATGGTAGATCTTCAAGACTATACCTCAGCCTCCTCAGCAGCAGAAGGTACTTGGACAGAGTCACAAGTCATTCTTCAGTGCAGTGAGCTCATTTGTGGTTGTATTTTAGTGTACTAATAGTCAATTTTAGGTTAGCCTAGCTTGTCTTTGGGACAATAAGTTCAGACCCAGTTGAACTTTATTTGACCCCTACTGGCTTGTGTGATCTTTTTTTGTAAAGGTTTTTCACTCATAACCCTATACTAGTATACTTTTACTAGCCCTAGGGTTCTTATCCTTTGAGTTCTTGACTATACTTTTGTGTAGTATATTATGTAATGATGGCCTTCTAGGTTCAAAAGGTTATTCCCCTTATTCATGCACCTACAGTAGCTTTGTTGGAGTTCATTGCTTTGAATGACTATTCCTTAGTTTTTCACTCAGTAATCATTACATTCAAGCTGTGCTTATCCACTGAACAGTGTTTTCTTTTTTTTTGAAATGTTGCGTTCAGGGATTATGAATAGGTGGAGTTTTTTCTAAGAACTCTACTGATTGATGAGTGTAAATTATTATTACACTTTACTTGTATTGAAAGATCTTTTTGCTGATCTTTCTTGTTTCTTTTTCTTACTTTTTATTAGTCGGGAATTAGTCTCAACTTTTTTTCTAGTTTAGTAACTAGCTTGACTAGATAACATATTTTTCAGTTGGATTGAATCTGCATTGTTCCTAGATGTAGTTAATTCTCATCCTTATTCACAATCACTTTACACCCTTTTGTAGGGTTCTTGGTTCCAGCACTTTATGGAATTGTGTGGTTTAGCAGTCATTTAATTTAAAATATTAGTTTTTGACATTTTAAGAGATGTGAACGTTTCATTCACTTGCTACTCTTCACATCACTTGTTTTTTTCTATGTTCTGTTTGTTTTCTGCTTACAGATACACTCAGCTTTTACTTTTGTATTTCTTATTCATCAACTAATTTTAGGTCTAATTTTACATTCGTGTAAAATTAGTTAGTTTACAGAAGCCTTACTTTAAGATACATTGAATGGCTCATTAATGCCTTCTGGTCACAACATATTCATTCTTTATTTATACCAGGGCATAGGATGTTTGTTCTACAATCATTTTGGATATCTTGGTTTTCAAATCTTGTTTCATTATTTTTAATTTTACAAGGATAATTTTTTACAAAGTTTTTTTTTGTTTGTTTGTACTTTTGTGTCTCTTTATAGAGATCTACATTATTGTTTATCTACATATCTCAGGTCCACTCTATGTCTTAGAATCTTTTGGTTAGTTTTACTCTAACCTCAGTTTTTTTCATGGAGTGGCTCACCTTAAAATATGCTTCATACTTTTGAACAGCTACTTATCAATCACTCCTTTTCTGGTATTGATTGGTTTCATGCATATTTTCTAAGTAATTATATGTTTTTTTATAAGCAGTGTACCTTCACACAGGTTTGAATCTTGTCTTAAATTGATAAGATCATGAGTCAATTGATTGAAATATAATTTTATATTATTCAATCAACAGTAGAAGAGAGGTTTCTACACATCAGTTCAGTTTATTATACTATGAATCTTGTGTTTTAAACATGCTTCTAAGTGATGGGCTCTCATTTTTTATTATCTGGAGCCTGTTTTCATTCATTTTCGTTCTTATTCATAACCATAGTACTTATTCATTCGTGGATTGGTTATTATTTTCAAACAAGGTGGTTTTCATCTAATATTGAAAACACATCCCTTTGTTTGTGAAAGTTGCCTTTGTGGTTTTCGGGCCTGGATTGCTTTAAGGTTCCACTCCAGTTCCAGACTTCACAGTTCTTATATTTTTACTAGTTCATGTTCATAGTACTTACTACTATTTAACTAGTAAAAGGCTGGTAGTTTTAACCACTTGGATAAACTGACCATGTTTCTTTTGATATAGTTTTTCCCCTGAGAAAATGCGAGTTACTTTTATTGTGGAATTCATCATTGTGGTCTTTGGGCCTGGATTGCCTTCAGGTATCACTCCAGTTCCAGACTCCTTTTGGTCTTATTTTATTTCTAGTTCATGTTCTTAGTACGTATACTACTACTTAACTAGAACAGGCTGGTAGATTTAACCAATTTGATAAACTAATCATGTTTTATGATATCGTTTTTTCCATTGAGAAACTACAAGGCACTTTATTTGTGGAATTAATCTTGGGCTTTTTGGGCCTGGATTGCTTTAAGGTTTCACTCCAGTCCAGACTTCATTTGGTTTTATATTATTACTAGTTCATAGTACTTATACTACTATTTAACTAGTAAAAGGCTGGAAGTTTTAACCAATTGGATAAACTTATCATGTTTTTATGATATAGTTTTTTCCCTTGAGCAACTGCAAGTTTGGCTTAAGACTACTGAAAAGTAATGTTCTTGGACAAAGCGTTGTATGGATCTAACAATTGACTGGTAGACACATGCAGTAGTACTTCGATGACCATGCGGGCCTGATGTATAGGCTGCTGATACTAGAGTTTCAACTCCAAGCCAAGTTTGATCTACAAAGGTTATGCTCCAAGTCAAGAACTGTGTGGATCCAGCACTACATTACTACATAACTACATACTGTAGTGTTCCAATACACCTACATCCATGATGTATGCTCTTGGTAGCTTTAGACAGACCCGGGAGAAAAGCTGACTATTCTTGTCAACCAGTGCTGCCAACTACAAACCTGGATGAATTTAAAGGTTACGTTTTTGGACACAGATTTTGGTGGATCTAGCACTACTATACTCTCATACTATACTAGTAGTGCTTCTTTTTGTAGCAGTATCTACGTTCAATGCTGTTATACTCTTATAGACAGATAGATGTACTATCCATTGACGATACCACTAGTCTGTCTTTTGGAAGCCTGTGGAGAACATTTAAAAGTTTTTGGTTCCAAGCCAAGAATTTTGTTGATCCAGTGAGTTTCTGAATTCTTCTGCAGTATTCTGTCAATATGCAGCACTAGCTATTTTTGCTGTTTACAACCTGGACAGATGGATGTTCTAACCACAATCCAATAGTTTTCAACTACAATGCCGAATACAACAATTGAAGTTTGCATTCCAAGCCAAGCTCTTTGTGGGAACAACACTTAGCAGTGCTTTGATGGCAGTAGAATACTTTCTGTTATGCTATGGCCACTATAGACAATCATAACAGTGATATCCTCATCTTCTTAAAGATGTCTAACAAGTTTACCAACAAATGCAAGCTTGTTTCCAACCACCTTTAGATTCATCTCCATACCATAGCCGTAGGGACCAGGGGTTCGATGGGTTCGGACGAACCCCCGGTCGGGATTCCCCCTCAAAAATATTTGAGGAAAATTCATTGCAATAACCAATAACATATATTCAATTTATTTGACTAGTAGATAAAAATAGTAAATTTACACTTCTCTCCAAAAGATTGGCAACCTCAGGCACGGGGTGGGATTGTTTAATTTTGGGAAGACCCCGGAGCATTATGACATTATGCAAAGAAAAAAAAACAATAAAAAGCTGCTCCATCTACAGTGAAATAAACAAATTGTCTTAATACTGATGAAAACACATTTTCTTTCAAATCTGTGCCCCTCCGTTTTGTTTTATTTCAAACAAAAAAATTCTTGCTAAGTCCCC